CTGTCAGCACAGAGCCCAACGCGGGGCTGGAACTCTTGACGGTGAGATCATGACCTGAGCTGAAGTTGGACACTTAACAGACTGAGCCACCCAGGTGCCCCCCACTCCAAGGCTTTTAAATATTTATTTATTTTTGAGAGAGAGACAGAGAGAGAGAGAGACAGAGAGAGAGAGAGAGAGAGAGAAGAATGGGGAAGGGCCAGAAAGAAAGGGAGAAAATCCCAAGCAGGCTCTGCTCTGTCAATGCAGAGTTGGATGTGGGGCTGGAACCCATGAACCATGGGATCATGACTCCAGCTGAAATCAAGAGTTGGTTGCTCAAGGGGTGCCTGGGTCACTCAGTCTATTAAGCGTCTGACTCTTGATTTCAGCTTGGGTCATGATCTCACGGACTGTGGGCTCCAGGCAGCATCGGGTTCTGTGCTGACAGTGTGGAACCTGCTTGAGTCTCTATGTCTCTCTGCCCCTCTCCTTTCTATCTCAAAATAAATAAACTTAAAAAAAAAATTGGTCGCTCAACCAGCTGAGCCACCGAGGAGCCCCTCCCGCTCCCAGTCTTTGACAATTGTCACTTTTTCAGCTAGGCTTTCCCTGACCACATTATACACATAAAAAAATTGTCTCCCACTTTCACTCCCCAGTCCCTGTTTTTTCTCAGAATCATTCATCACCACCTAATATACTATTTTATTTGTGTCTCTTCCACTACAAGTAAAGCTCTATGAAATCTTTGTCTATTTACTGATGTGGCTTCCGTGCCTAAAACTGAAGGTGGCACATAATAGGCAGTCAGTAACTATGTATTGTATGATTTGAATTACTGTTTCCCTCCAGTTTTATTAAGGTGCAATTGACAAACCGATTGGTTTAGTATTAATCTAGGACGCTTCTTAGCTGGCTGAGCCCCATGCGAGGGATGAAAGGATCTTGAACTTCTCAGGCAGATTTTATTGTTGATAAGCCCCCTCCCTTTTTTTTTTTTTTTTTTAAGTCAGCTCGGTGCCCAACGTGGGTCTTGAACTCCCAATCCCACCCCCTCGCCCCAGATCAAGAGTCGCATGCTCTACCGGACTGAGCCAGCCAGGTGCCCCTGATCACCCCCTTCCCCTACTGTCCCCTGGGTCACTCACACAGAGGAGTTCCCGGTTCCCCAACAATTACTCAGACAAGTCTAACTGTTCCTCCTTCGGGTACAGAGGATAAATACGACAAGCAGGAGCAGCCGAGCCCCAACTTTGATCAACAGTTTTCCTCTCCTTTCCTCGCTACTCAGTACTTGACTCGGAAGGGATTTCAATACCAATAGCTGCTTCTTCCAGCCAGGTTGATTCCATCAGCACAATTGAGAGAAGTTCCCTATAGAAGACAGCACTGCGGTACCCACAGGGATCCGCGGGTGGGGGATAGGGGGTGGGGGTGGGGCTTCCCTTTCCGCGCAGGCGCCTTTTGTCGCAGCTCCGCGACTATCGCGATAGAAGAGCGAGATCGGCGCTGGCCCTTTAACAGCCCCTTCCCGGGGGCCTGCCCCACGCGTGCGCACTGCGGTTCTGCGCTTGTCATCATGGCGACGCGGGGCCATGTGCAGGACCCTAACGACAGGCGCCTCCGGCCCATTTACGGTGAGTGCCTGGGGCCAGCCCGGTAGTTGGCCGGACGTATCGAGGGCTGTTGAGGCCGGGGCAAAGGTCCAGGAGGGGCGCGGAGGGGGCGGGCGCGGAGCTGTAGGGCGCTGGGGACGGACCGCGCGGGCCTCTAGGCCGCAGCCACGGGCCTCGCGTAGGCGCCGGCCGGGCCTTCCTAAGCCGTACGGTGGCAGTGGCGTGGTCCAGACGGCGGCAGGTCAGCGGAGATGGCCCGGCATGCAGGTTCTGTGAGGGACTTACTCTCACAGAGACCTGCGCTGCCCGTAGGCTGCGTTGTGCCAAGGAAGACCCAAGATCTCAGGTGGATCCCGAGCCAGGTGGAAGCTGGCTCCGGCGTGAGGGTGCGACGTTCTGCTTGAGGGAAAATTCCTCACTAAAGACTTTTTACTTACGGGAAGCGGGCTTAGGGGGTTGTGACTAGCGGTGCTCGATGCACATGGAGAAACAGGTCCAACGAGAGGAAGGGGCTGGCGCAAGGTCACCCCGATCGAGTCTGGAGCAGGCCCGGCTTCGAGGCTCCCTATCTAGAGCTCTTTGGTGGAGAAACAGCTGCTCTGGGCGCACGTGGGAGGCAGCGGCGGGGCTTAGGGAGGGGTCTTGGGCCCAAAATAACGGTGAGAAGACTGTGATAACTCATGTCAGAGGGGCATGCAGGGCTGCTGCAGGGCTTTTCCTTTCTGCAGCTTCTCTGGTTTTCTCTGCAGCTTGCCTTCTGCTTGCTAAGTGGTTCCCCCTCCATAACGCTTACCTCAGCCCCGCAGGCTTGCAGACCTCGAAGTCATTCTGATACCCCGGTTGGGAAAAATCGACAGATTTGAGTCAGGGGAAATGCCTTTTCAATAACCGAGTTGTTCTGTAATTGGACAGTGGCCCTTTTTGCAGCTCTTCTCATAGATGGCTGGTCTCAGTTAATGGTGAGGAAGGCTTCAAGGTCAGTGGTATCGCCAAACTAGACCTCGCGTCTATAGTGTAGATGTTAACTAAATGGAGGTCTCCCCATGGCTGAGATCATTCAAGGTTTTTCGGGGAGGGGCAACTTTATTTCTGGCACAGTTGGTCCTGCTTTTATAATTTGTATGCTGCTTTACTCTCACATCTCATTTGATTCTAGCAACAATCCTGTGAGATGGGAAATGATAGCTGATGTGTATAGACGGGTAATTATGTCATTCTCTGTCATTGGCCCTTCATATGGGTTATCTCATTTAATTTGTACACATTCTTATGAGGTGGGAAGTTTTTTCCAGTCCCACAATGCCCCTCCCCCCTTTTCCCCACGGATGAGGAAGATGGGGCATTGTTGATGTGTAATTATTTGCCTAAGGTTATTCAGGTCACATTTGATGGAGCTAGAATCTTAACTCCTGTGGGCTGTCCTAGGCTCACTCTCTTAACCACTGCTAGAAGGTACCTCACTTTGAGCTGAAGACACTGACTTGCCAAAAGTCACACAGGTGGCGAGTGGCAGAGATAGGACTCTGTTTGCAACAATTTCCCGTTGGTGCATGTTATCATACCCTCTGGTATATGTATATTCATTCAGAGGGCAGGGTTGAAATGAGGTGATTGAAGATAGGAACTGAGTCCAGGCAGGGCTCACACTTTCTGGCTTATTAAAAAACTCTATGCAGCAGCAGCTGCCTGTGGACTTTTTTTTTTTTTTTAAGTTTATTTATTTATTTT